GTGAATCGAATAAATTAAAAAATGACGTTACATAAAATGAAATAAATTGTTAATTAAATAACACACATTACATCATTAAAAAAATTAATTAGTGAAACAAACTCTATTTATTTCAAGTTCCTATGTCGTTAAAATGTCGTACCAGATCGTACCACTTCGACCAAGTGGTACTTTCCACGCTCATTTTACGTATACGTGTACTTGGAAATAAAAATTGAATATTTCATTCATTAATAAAATGCAATGGAAATAAATGTAATTAAAAGTACAAATTAAAATGTTTACATTAAATGGAACTAAAAACATTATTTACTTGATACAAATAACCATATAATATGTAAAATACATTCATACATAAATCACTAAAATAAAAATAAGTAAACATTACCAACCATAATGAAATCACTAAAATACAAGTATTTATAGAACTAAAATAAAATTAACATAAATTTAAAGGGATGAATAGTAAATACATAAAATTAAAGGACCAAAATAACAAATACAAAAACTTAAGGGACTGAAATAGCTAAAATAGAAAGTTAAAGGACTAAAATAGCAAAAATATAAACTTAAAGGGCTAAAATAGTAATTACAAATAAACCAGAACCCAGATAGTGAACATTAAAAATAGAAGTACTAAAAACAAAAATAACCCATAAATATCATTAAAGACCAAACTAAAATAAATAGAAACATAAAGGACCGAAATGAAAATTACAAACAAACTAAAGTTATAATTGCATATATCAAACAAATAAGGTACTAAGAGTGAAAATAATCTATAAACAGTATTGGAACTAAAATATAATGAAAGCAAAACATACAGGCTAATTCAGGATTTAACCCAAAATACAAAACAATGATCAAAATGAAAGTTTCATAAACAACGAAAATAAAGTCCAATATGTACAAAATACATATAATAATAGTCAAGTGACCAAAATACAAGATTTACAAATACAGGGCAAGAAATACAATAAAAATAAAATATAACAAATGCCCATAAACCAACTTTACAAAATACGAAGAACCCAAAGTATAATTTACCCATAATAACATTACCAACAACACCTTCCCTAAACGACATCGTTTAATTCGAGGTATATAAGCCCAAAACATGCTTTCTTTTCTCTCCATTTCTCATTTGATTCCATTTCAAAAAATTGAGAAGGACAAAGAGTTAAGAACTCTCTTAACCTTCCCTAATCGGGGAAGAAACAACTGCCCTACACCGGCGGTGGCCATGGCAGAGCCCACGGTGGATGAAGACTAAAAGAACCCTCACGTCACCCTCAACCCAAAACCGAACACCCTTTAGCCTAAAACCACTCCTAAATCTATGGATATAAGGGATTACCTCTCGAAAGCTCTGGAAATAGGTGAATAAAGCAGAAAAATAATACCCGAAATTGATAACGGAGTTCAGCCAATTATGTCTACGTCTCTGGACTACTGCAGATATTTTACTAAAGAAAGAAAATTCACAGGTGTTTACAAAAACATTCATGACTCATAAGCGAACTCTCTAAACTCTTTAGTATTGGGAGAAAGAAATGATTTTGGGATGATTTTGAAGCTAAATGAGTTAGGGTATTTATAGTTGAAGCTTAAGGACTAATCTTATAAATACCCTAAAGTATAGGAACTAAAATACAATTATCCCATTCCAAAAAATAAAAAAAATCAGGCACCGAATTCGGTGCCCCCTTTGTTGAAAACTATTCGGATGTGCCCCTTTTTTGACTTTGACTTTCAATAGTTAGAAGACAACATCAAAGGGGACGATGATAGAGCTTGCAACGGATGCATGTTGCCTATCTCGACTCCATTTTATTATTGTTACAAGCGTGATTTCTTCCTTCACGAAACTGAATTACCCAGAGTTAAACATCATTGGTTTCAACTACCCGCCATTAACTTTGAAGACGTTGATTGGAACAAGTGTTACTTGTGTGGTATCTTGTGCAGTGGCTTGTTTTATAGAGGTATTTGAGGCAATGAGTTTTGCCTAAGGTGTGCCAAAGTTTCGTATACCATCAAACATGAAGGGCACCAATACTCGCTTTTTTTTTTTTTTTTTTTTTTTTTTTTTTTTATCGAAAATGCAAAAGGAAATGCAATGGTTGTGGTCTCCATCATGAGGATTATGGTGCATTCAGATGTAAGGAGTCTATAGTTTTAGTTTGGACTTTGCATGCATCACATTACTGCTTGCAGTTCAACACAAATGTGACCGTCACTTACTGCGATTGAGTTATGATGATGGGAATGATGATCTATAACAGTTCAATTGTGAAAAGAAGAGAGATACAAGCCGTTGGTATTATTAATTCATGTTCATCTTACGATAATTATGTTCATTCCAGGTGTGCTCTCGGAGGATATTTGTTTCTCAAAGATGGTGCCAGTTTTCCATGGTGGTTTCACAATCACCATCATCACAAAAATCTCAATTATGTACGCAAAATTGTTGACGGCTATCCTTATCGCTCGAAATGCGGTAAGCCTTGCCAAAAAAAAAAAAGTTTTCAAGTGTACCAATGTGACTATATTGTTTACTTCAGTTGTGGGTATGTTATGAGCTTTTTTTTTTTGTTCTTTTAGTTTCTCAGGATTTTGTTCTGATTAATCTGGATCGACTCATGTCACACACCTAACTTTGGTAGATAAATCTTCTAACAAGAATTTTTACATATATAACTGTCGTATCCGGTTTTCGTCCGGGCACGAAATTTTAAATACTTGGCGGAAAAAATGATGTGAATAAATGGTTTTTTTTTTTAAAAAAAAATTTTAGGAGTCGCCATCGGCCTTTTGGGTCAGGTAGGTCGATTACCTAAAAATTATCTTTTAAAAGAGTTTTTAAGAAAACATCAGTTAAAAGATGAACTGATCTGTGTTTTAACCAAAAAATTCGTTCTTTTTAATAATAAAAAGGGATTCGTGGTCGGTTATGTTTAGGGAAGGATTAGCACCCTTACAACGCCCAAAATTGGTACTTTTTAATTATAAATTGTCTCTATTATAAGAAAATAAAAAAATTCAAATATATTTAATTCATAATCTTTTATTTCAAATTTATAATTTTAAGAAAATATATTAATATATATAAATAAGATATTTATTTATTTAGAAATATCAGAAAAGAGCTTCTAGGTGCTTTAAGACAGCTCTTTTCTTCGATATAAATAAATAACTAAAACAAAAAATTTATTTTAATATAGTAAGATATTTATTTATTTAAAAATATTAGAAAAGAGCTTCTAGTTACTTTAAGACAGCTCTTTTCTTCAATATTAAAAAATAAATAAATATCTAAATCATTTTCTTAATAAAATAAAATTAAACATATATAGTTCATAAATAGGATTTTTATTTCATAGAAAACAAAGAAAATAAATAAATAAATATTATTTATTATATATATTTATATGACTAAGATAATAATAAAATAATAATTAAAGTAATCATTTAAACATATTGGATTTGAAATGATAATAATACAAATTAAATTGTAATTAAATAGGGACTAAAACATATTAAAATAAATAAAAATATTTAAAATTAAAATTTACAGCCCTTATTTATAGTATTATAAAAATATAATTACTAATGATGTAATTAACCCTAATTATTAATAGGTGATTAAAATAATGATCATTAAAATTAAAGGTTCTAACTCGAATGATAAAAAGATCTAAGTGCTAATAATATAATTTAGCCTTATTTAATTAATTCGGATTAAAATGATATTTACTAAACTATAAAGGACTAAATTAGGTATTTACTCTAAATAAATATATATGCAGATAAGGACTAAAATAAAATAAAATAAAATGTAAAGACTAAATTTTAAATAATTAGAAGTTGATTGTAGTGACTAATTTGTAAATAATACAAACTCGAAGTGACCGCGGACGAGGTTTTCCCGTGAAGGAAATTACGCACATACCCTCATCAAAACGGTGTCATTTTGATGAGGGTATATAAACCCTATAACCGGCCCCTAAGGGCCAAAGTTTCTCATTTGCCTTTTTCCTTTCTCTCTCTAAAATAAGAGAACCAGAGTTCTCTCTGGCTTCTCTCTAGTTTCCCTCGCCGGAGGGAAACCGGCAGCCATAGGCCACCGTACTCCGGTGCCGATCACTGCCGCCGGCCACCGTGAACGGTGGCAGGAATTTACAAAATACCCCCAAAGCGTAGATCTAAACGTCCTAAGGCCCGATCTAAGGTTATTTTAACCTAAAACCCCATAATATATCGTAAGTCTACGATTTTCACCTTCGGTGTTTTGATTTTCCGGCGACGTTTAGGGCTCTCCGATGATAGAGTAAGTTCCTCTCTTCTCTTCTCTTTTATTTTTTACTGGTTTGTTGTTGTTGATTGGGATCGTTGGTAGCTTTCTGTCTTCCTCGGTTTCTTCCTCTCTATTTGGTTTCTGGTCTCCGTTGCTTGTTGTCCGTGCTCTCTCCTTTTTTTGCTCTCTGTCTCTTCTTTTTTTCTTTGTTTTCTGTCCCTTTTTTTTTCGTCTTGCAGGTGATGGCTTTATAGCCTCGATGAGGCTCTCATCGGACCGGGTATAAAGTCGAGTTCGGTGAGTCACCGAACTATGTGGTGACTCACCCCTAGAGCAGCAACGTGGGTGGTGACGAGGCGCTTCTGGAGGCTTCGATGGGGTAGCGTGGCAGCAGCTGAAGCGTCAACGTGGAGGTGACGGCTGAGCAGAGGCGGTGGCTGGCCTTCTGGAATCTTGGAGGCGGCTGGGGGGCTAGGGTTTAGAAACTCTAGCTAAAACCCTAAATGTTTAGGGTTTCTGGTTGGTCTGGGCCGGTTCTGTTTTGTTTGTAACTGGGCTGGTCCAGTTTTGTTTGTAACTGTTTGTAAATAATAATTATAATATAATAATAATATTTAATAATAATAATAATAATTTTAATAATAATAATAAAAACAAAAATGGAAAAAATTAGTGTTTACAACTGCCCCTCTTTGCTTATTCTTGTGTTAACAAGAATAGAGCAAAGACGGAAAAACAATAATTTTTTTCATTTTTCTTTTTTTTGAGTAAGACTGAAATGTTGAAAACATCATTCCAGAGGTCTTAAAAACATCATGCACTGCAGGACTTACAGATGGCCTTAAGGTTTTGAAAACATCAATAAGCTCCCGAAGGCTTTTTGGAAACATCATGCACTGCAGGACTTACAGATGACCCTAAGGTTTTGAAAACATCAAAAAGCTCCCGAAGGCTTTTTGGAAACATCATGCACTACAGGACTTACAGATGACCCTAAGGCTTTAAAAACATCAAAAATCTCCCTAAGGCTTTTTTGGAAACATCATGCACTGTAGGACTTACAGATGACCCTAAGGATTTGAAAACATCAAAAAGCTCCCGAAGGCTTTTTGGAAACATCATGCACTGTAGGACTTACAGATGACCCTAAAGCTTTGAAAACATCAAAAAGCTCCCTAAGGCTTTTTGGAAACATCATGCACTGTAGGACTTACAGATGACCCTAAGGCTTTGAAAACATCAAAAAGCTCCCGAAGGCTTTTTGGAAACATCATGCACTGTAGGACTTACAGATGACCCTAAGGCTTTGAAAACATCAAAAAGCTCCCGAAGGCTTTTTGGAAACATCATGCACTGTAGGACTTACAGATGACCCTAAGGCTTTGAAAACATCAAAAAGCTCCCGAAGGCTTTTTGGAAACATCATGCACTGTAGGACTTACAGATGACCCTAAGGCTTTGAAAACATCAAAAAGCTCCCGAAGGCTTTTTGGAAACATCATGCACTGTAGGACTTACAGATGACCCTAAGGCTTTGAAAACATCAAAAAGCTCCCGAAGGCTTTTTGGAAACATCATGCACTGTAGGACTTACAGATGTGGGAAATAGTTTACTAAGTAAAAAACTAAGGAAATCGTTTTCTTACTTTTCAACAATTTCATTTTAGAAAAGATTGAATGAGAAACTATGGAAATCGTTTTCTCATTATTTTTGAAAATAACATGTTGATTGGGTAACATGACCCAATCTCAAGATAATGTTCATTCTTGTGGATTGCGTCCATCTATTCTTCAGATGTTGGCGTGATTCCTGCATTTGCGATTTTGAATACCTTCTTCTTGTAAGGTATTTTTTACCATGAATCTTCTTGTTCTTCCGAAGATCTATAAAACTTTATGTTTGAATGCACTCAGATGTATCAATGTAATGCATTGTCTATTGTGTAAATGATATTCTTATGAATGCATGAATGTTGATGCAATCTTCATTTGACTTCAAAGTGGTGAACTTGGTCTTCCTTCACTTCATCATTTATTGCCAGTGTTACCTCTGGATATCAGTGTAGAAACTTATGCTGTCAAGCTTGCATTTCTACAGGATCATCTGATCAACTTGTATCTTGGCGTCTTCTTTGTTTCATGAAAGTCTCAGAAGAAATGTTTCATTTGTGGAACTCTTGCTGTAGTCAAAATTATGACCCTGATGCCCCATTTTGTCTTGGATAAAACCAACTTTATTTACTTGGACTTATGAATAAATCCCATAAAGCTTTCATCTTTGAAAAGAGAATCTATCATCTTTAAAAAGAGATCTATTATCTTTGAAGAGTGTAAATGTAGATATGCCTGACTCAGCAGGGATTAATTAGGAGAGTAGAGTCTGTTCTAATTTAACTCTTGAAACATCACAAGGAAGATTTATTCCAATTCCTTTCATGTCTCCACATATAATCAGATCTCGAATAAGGCAACTTGGACCATATCATGTCGAGATGCTTAACAACAACTTGTCATTCAAACTTTAGTTGGCTCCACTAGTTTCTTGTTGTCAAAATTTCAGCTCTCCTTCTGTGGAAAGAAATCTTCATCATATCTCACTTCTAATCTTGGGGTTGAAGAAGAAAAACTTCATCTTAGATCAATAAATAGAAACCATATGATCGCAACATTGGTTCAGCATCAGAATAGTAGGTTCGTAAAACATTTGACAGTGCATTCATCCTTTCCTGTGGCTTCTGCTCAGATGTTCGTAAAACATTTGACAACACATTCATCCTTTTCTGTGGCTTCTGCCAAGATTTCTCAATCATTGAAGCTCTTTGCCTAGTGTTCAAAGCTTTTGAATAATGTCACAAGACCATTTGAGAACAAAACTCAGTGGGGATTCAAGTGTAATGTTGGTATGACCAAAAAGTTGGTCAAATTCACAAAATGTGCTGGTGTCGAATTGAATAGGAGATACCAACAAATCTTGATATCATATGGAAAAGGAAAATGTGATACTGATCATGCTTTCTTTCATAATGAGCATTGTAGAAAGTAGAAACACTTCAGCTATAGAGGCCATGTACAGAAAGATGTTCATGGAATTCTTGCCGCTGGGGATGAAACACCCATGATAAAACCAAAATAGATGAAAACTCGGTTTAGTCTAGCTGGCAATGATAACCCCAGTAACATCGGGAAAGAGCAATATACATGAG